AAAAAAACAAAAAAAAAAAAAAAAAAAAAAAAATTGGCAGCAAGTTTCAGCCGTGAGGGGTCACATAAGATATAAACACTTTCTGCAGGTAAAATTCTTTTCCGGAGAACTCGATTTTCAACATATGTTCATAATAACGCACAAAACTCCTGCATTCGCGCGCTGCAAGCTTCACGGTGCATTCCCATAAAGCGTCATGTGTTCTCTATTTAGGTCTATAAACAGGTGTGCAGTCTCCTTTCCCTTCGGGTAAAATTCCTGTGTCCCATATTCCCACTTAGTTGTTTCTCCTTCCAGCTGACATTCTTTGAAGTTGGGGGGGGGGGGAAAAATCAATCCACCAGTTAAGATGAACATCTCAGCTATCTCAAGATGTCTCAGGAGATTTCCAGGTCATAAAAAATGTATAACAACTCTCTGTTGGCCTTTTTTTTTTTTTTTTTTTAATTGAAGCTTGGCATTTTGTCTGCTATATTTTGGGTACTTCAAAAATCAGAGTCAAAACAAATTGTAGATGAAAGATAGCAACAGAGAGGGAAAGAAAAGAGAGCAAGAAAGAAAGTTAAAATAAAAACAGAGAGAAAAATACCCAACTGAAGTTCCTGCTCTCACATAAATAATAGACAGCCAGTAAATAAGTAAGTTACAGGGCTCAGCCAAGCCCAGGAGACTGGTGGACATGATCCTGCAAGTTTATGAGAACACAGAAACACAGCTGGAAGGAGACCCAGGAGGTCACTGAGTCTAGTCTGCTGCTACCTCTGGCAGTGCCTCACTCGAGACCCCCACCGGGACCAATTTTTCTCAGCTAGGAAGATATGGAAATACCCCACCCCAATCAACCCTGTTGATTTGGGACTTGCACCACTACGTAAAAAAGCAGAATTTGGTCCCCTTGCTATACCACTGAATTACATTCATTTCAAGGCATTCTCCCGTGCACACTTAATGAAATCTTTTCTAGCACTACGAGGAATTTCCAGGTTTTCCAGTAGTCACTTTCCCAGATCAGCCCGAGGACAACACAGGGGCCTACAGGACTCTTGCCAGTGTTAATGATGATCCTACTGACATTCCCAAGAGAGAATACATCTCTGCTGCAACAGTTCCCAGACCTCTGGATAGTTACTGGGAGGAGAGTCCTCAAAAGGTACCCGCAAATGTAATTTTTCTAGCAAGGTGCTAGATGCTTTACCCTCATAAAGTTCCTTATAGCTCCCCAGGGTTTGGGTGGGATGCATCTCACTTAACTGGAGATGTCTACTATGCAGACACTGTCATCTGAATCAGTCTCTCCAGGCTCATACGTGGTAGAGGGAGACAGGTGCTTTACAGTGTAATTTAGGTGCTTTTATTTTTATTTCCACTTAAAGCTGAAACAAATCCTTCCCGGGTGATTCGCTGACTCATCTTCAGCTTCTCTTCTCACTCTAAAGCAGGCCTGGATGATAGAGAAGAAAGCACGTGCTTCCAAGCTGCCAACTTAGGTGAGACAGATCCCAACCTTGCTGTTGGGTGTAACTTAAATTTTGTTTGCATCTTTAAGCATCCAGCAGTTGCTTTCCTTTCTGCCACACACTCCTGATGAGAGCTTAAGAGCTTTCTCTGTCACACCTGAACCCTAGAGAGCCACCTTCTGCTCTCTAGCACCACTGCTAACGATCTGTCCTATTCCAGTTTTATTCATTAATATTTCTGCCTTTACATCCTGTTGTTATTTAAAGGTTCAAGCAGGCTTGCTAATACTGATCCAATATTAGATAATAACGATACCACATAAGCAAATACCATGATTATGATACCATAAGAATGATAGCAACATTCCCACATTAACTAATAACGATACCAGTGTCTTGCAGAAAGGATGCAGGATTTAACCTCTCTATCCAAGCCCACTGACTTGCAGCCTCCCTTCACTACAAGCCATCTCGCAACCAAAGAGAACGCACGTCAGTGGAAGGAGCAGCTCTGACTGACGGAGGAAGGAGCATGCTTGCCTTCTCATAATGAAACTTTCTCCATTTTTTGAGTAGGATGAACATGGGGGACACCCTCTAGTCATAAAACCTGCTGGATTTCATTAGCGCAACCCCAGCTATATTTCAGAAAACCCATTTGAGGAGGATTTCAATACAGTATATTAATTTTGCACTTCATCACTACAATATAATTGCAAATGAGCACCACTGTACCTAAGTGCAGTAAGCATATACAAGTTCAGTACCTGTTCAGCAATAAAATTTCAAGCTCATTTATGTAATTTAGTAACACTCCCTCATTTATCTTACAAGTTAACTTTCAGGTTTTTAAAAATAACAAATATAAAAGTGTGTTGATTTTTCACTGTTTTGCTGCTGGCATGCTTTCTGTATTTCTCCTTGGACTGGCAAATCTGATGGTCAGTTCCAATGTCATTTAAAGTCACTTTTCGGGGAATTTCCCTTTCAGATCTCGCAGGCTAGCAGCCTGCACTAACATGGCAATTGTTCACATGCTTTACTAATGTATTCGATTTTCTAAGTGGAAAAAAACCCAACAAAAACCCCACAAACTTGAAGGCTGTGCGATCCAGTCCTTAGCTGGTGTAAACTAAGAACAACATCAAACCTGCTCACTACCAGCAAAGGCCAAAACCCGACTGAGCGCACGCTCAGCTGACAGCAGATTTCCTCGTCCCGGGAGCAGGCATGGTTCTGCCAGTGAAACGGCGAGCATTCTGGCCGCCTCTGCCAACGATCACTGGGCCTACTGGAACAGGACTGCCCCAAGGAAAGCACGTGAACTGGTCCCTGTGCCCATCCGTGTGCTGAGACAGCACCAGAGCACTGCGACAAAGCCTCCGCAGTGTAATTCAGACTCTGCAAAAAAAGTGGCTTTTACTGGATACCACTCTATCTAGGGCAGTCAAATTACATTACTGCTGGATCCTTCTGTGTCTGCAGGGGAAGGAGCAGGTGAGGGTCATTGCAGATATCCGTGAAGTGCGTCCCATCTGCTGTACCTTAGTTAAGGAGCAAGGTTTCGGAGCCCACACAAGAGTACAAGAGCATGGACTGGCACCAATTCAAACCACCGCCTTCAGCACAGGCCGGTGGCTGCAGCCTGCCCTGCTGCCAACCACGAGTCATCCGCCTGCTGCTAACCACCATCTTCCTGCTTCTGCACAAATGGGTGAATGGGGCAGTAAATCTGGCTCTTTGTCACGTGCAGGCGAGAGTCTGAGCCGTAATCTCAGCCACCGAGTAGGAACATCTACCTGTTCACGCTGCTTCTCCAGCTGGCACAAGCTCTCTCCTGTCTTCTTGGGACTTTGCAGCACCAAGCAACGAAGGTAGCATTTAAATCCCTGCAATCCTGAACGCTAAGCTCAGTATTTGCCCCAGCCCTGTTTCAAGCATAATCCTGGGAACCCCAGTTTCTCAGACCTCACTGTAGTATATTTGCTTCTGCTGTTATGGGACCTGTTGTGGTTTGGTTGTATCTGCAGGATACAACAATACACTAGCTCTTCCATGGACCTCACCCTCTCCACAGCAGGAGAGCTGCTTTCCATAAAATGAGCTTCAGGGTTAGGGTTGGAATTAGAGTTAAGATTCAAGACAAGGATGATAAAACCTGTGGCTATATCCTAATTAACGCTAGAACAAGCAGGGGACTCAGATCCTTGCTACGTAGGCAGGGCTCTGGGTTTAGCTTAGGGTCTATGGGGGATATCTAGCTAGACCTCTCTTTGTCTGTGTGAGAAGACACCTGGTATCAATAAAGGAAAATAGCTAAATACATTAGTTCTGGGGTATGTAGGGGTGACTAATGAATCCTAAGGAGCTGGCTAGGTGTGAGTTTAGTTAGCACTTAGTTTTGCAGCTGGAAGGGCTGAAGAGATAGACATACTCTTTGAAGAATTGCTACCCCAGAATGAAGCACGCTGTTGGCACTTCCAATGTCTTTTCATGAATTCTGCAATGGGACTGTGTCTTGGAACAATGTGCTAGAACAGTGTTACAGACAAGGCCAGAGGGGCTGGATCTTTCTAGGAAAGGTTTTGTCTTCATCTAGTGTTTGTTCACCAAAAAATGGCAAGTTATTACTGCTGCCTATTCCTGCTGTAGTTGAAGCAGCAGAATTGTGCACAACAGTTTTATAGACTCTCAGTCTGATGTAGGATCACGTGGGTGTCTACATAATGTTTCATAATACAAGTTTTGTTTTCTTCACAAGATGAGAAGCCAGGTACTCAGAATCCCCACACAAAGAGAGTGCTATTAAGACATGAGTCAAGCTCTTGATTAGTTAGGAGGTGCCAAAATGAAAAGTAGCTTTCGCAAACCTGATTTGGTGAGTGCCAGTACTGCGACAGTTTTTAGCCACGTGATCACCACGCTGTTTCCCTCACATGACCTGTGCCACAAATACACATGTAAATTCTATATATTGTTAGGGGGCTTAATAGCGATATGCCATGTCTCGTCACATTATTACAACTTTGCAAGCCTTTGCATATGATACTTGAAAACACTGGCTCTGCTAAACACTGTTCCTGAGATTACTTACATAGTTATAGCATAGGCATCCGTAGCACAGCTATGAGCCAAATGCTGCCATTCTCAACTTTATTTAAATGGTCATTTTTAGCAGTTCAAGACAGACCAAGCATTGCATTTCACCTATGCAAGAGAGCAGGATTAGCCCCAATCATTTAGTTCAAGTCAAAAAAGGTTTCACCTGAGGTTTTCTGAACTGAATTCCGATTCCAGGAAACGAAGGAACTGGTCCCGTCCTACTGGGTCCTTCAGCACTTCATCCATGGAGAAACCCCATCTTTTCACACGCTGCTGACTAGGTTCTTTGCTGTTTGGAGAGAGAAGGGAAAAAACAGATGGAATGTGCATTTCTGCCTGCTGTCTGAGCAGCTGCTACTGTTTCTGCTAAGCAGCAAAGGGAGGAAGATTATCAGACAACGAGATGGTGGTTTTTTTTCCTCAAGATTTTGTGGAAATACAAGTTAGCAAATAACATACAAAAAGAAGCTATAAAGACCAGGGTCATCATTAAAGCAACCATACTATCCAGGTGCTACGCACATAGCAAAATGAGAGACACAGTGAATGATACGATTTTCAGAGTAATTTCTGGTATGTTTCACGTATAGAACAGCATACCATACTTGTATGATTATTCATTACGCACTTCTTATATATCTCCTCAAATGTACCTTGGGATTTCTTGTAAGTCAAGGCAGAAATTTACCAGCAGTGTTCCCTGGGCCACTGGTGAGCTCCAGAGCATCTCCTTGTGTCCCACACAGTGCTGGCTGGTCACTTGGAACTGGCTTCAGATTTTCAGTTCCACATTTGCATTAAAAAAGCAGTTTCACTAAGAAGCAGTGCAGACAAGATTTCTAAAAATGATTACTGGTTTGTGGTCTTTTATGTTTCAGTCCCTCTGATTTTTGGATGCCTAAGTCTTGCAAGACTAAAAAGCATCTCCCTCCTCCCCCCCTTGATAATCAGACTCTTATTTTGTGTCTCAGCTGGGACACTGAGACGCAGAGGCACCCAAAATCACTAACAACCTTTCTCCTAAATTATCTAATACAACCCCACTTACATAAGCTGTTGTTTGAATTGCCAGACATGTTGCAGAGATGCCTATGGGGAGAGGCAGTGCCTGGGATCACAACGAGGATCCTACGAGACAGTCCGCATCAGACCGTAATCTGGGCTCACAAAGTGTTTGAAAGCTTCTGGTGTGATGGCATCATACTATGAGACAACCATTAAAATACAGCTCAGCTGCTCACATTTGTGACAGTAGAGCCATTGTTAACAGTACATATCTATTAAACTACATGTCTTGTCATGTCCACAGTGATTCCTAATCCTGGAGCCTTAGGGGACAGTGGCGATCTGTGCTGAAGACAAATAAGCCAAAGGGGTAAATAAAATGTCCGCTTTGATTTCCTCTTGGTGTAAAGACTAAGCAAAATTGATGGGCATGTCCTCACTTGAAGTGCAGAGCACTCGGGATGGCTCCTCCTGCACTCACCCAGGAGCCAGCAGTGCTGCGGACAAGGGCACAGATGCCAGCCTGGACACAGGGACATGAAAACCACGTTTGTGCAGAGCTATGCCTGAGCTAAGCTCAGGGAATTTCCTGCTGAATCCAGAGATCTGTACCTGCTCTCCTTGCCGCTGCACAATGTTCTAGCACGAACGAAAAGGCCAAAGCGCTGCCTAAAACTGAAGACTTTCTGTGGCGTTTCCTGAGTGCCGTGAAGGATGAACTGTAGTGGCACAGGGCTGTCCATACTCAGCAGCTGGCCTTACCATTAGAAGTGAGAGGCTCTTTGTTTTCCTGAGCAAGGGCTCTGCTCTCCTAACTGAGGAAACGGCTTTGCAGGCAACACAAGGGCTACCGCAGCTCTCGGGGATCATTTAATTATTCATGCAAGTTGCAACTAGATGCAGATGTAGTGAGTTCTCTTACAATCAAGAATAAAATGGAAATACAGAGCTGTTTGTTCTTCCATCTCCCAACAATACAACCTTCTCTTTTTCATCAGCAGGAGAATCGCCTTCCTTAACTCTGAAATCATAGCAGAAGCCAAGCATTTATTTTAAATTCCTATAAAGGCCATGACATCAGGTTTATTGTATTCTTCAGGGACACAGACATTTTTCCAGGATTTGCAGCTACCTCAACAGATGCAGAAATAATGGATGCCTGGATTACTCTGTGGGTGGGGGTTCCCCCAGAGAAGTATTTTGCAGGGGCTGTGTCTGGTTCTAGCCCTTCTAGGGAGGATGGAGAAAACAAGAGAAACTGACTAAAAAGGAAATACAGAAAATTAAAATTATGTGAAGAGGAGCAGAGATTTGGGAACAAATAGATTTCTGTGACTACTGAACATACAGGTTAAAACATCTTTCACATCCCACACCACATGATTTTTAAACAGGGAAATAACTTGCCCTTTTCCTGGAGCATTGATTCGCTATGAATTGGCTTTCTTAGGCTGGTAATATCTTAAACTTTACATTATTATTCAAGAACAGACAGGATTAGATTTGGCATTCTCTTTTCAAAGATTTGCTAAAGTGAATTCCCAGTTCAGATTTGGTGCTGAACAGCAGCAGCTAAACACTAGGAGAAGCTGCTGAGCACTTGCAGTAGCTGGCCACAGGATGTGAGCAAGCAGTGAAGTTGATCTGTGGCATGGTGATTCCTTTCAAACCTGCTGCAATAGCTGCTAGGCATAGAGGCAGGCAGGACAATTCTAGCCCCACTGTGAGGGCTGTGGATAGTCTGTGATGACAAGAGATGTAGACACTGGCCAGACTTCCCTTGCACCAGCATCACAGGAGCAAAAGATTATCTAAATTGCAGTGCTGTGCCTTTGTTTGTTGGGTTTTTTTTGTGGACAAACTCTCTGAAGTGCAAGGCATTGGAAGTCCTGCAGTCATCCCTCTTCCTTTTCATCTATTAGACACCGTAACAGAGACAAGCCAGTTTATTCACTAACAGGTGAGGCCCAAACTCACTTCGTCGATCTATTATAATTCTGACCTGCCAAAGTCTCACCCATTACGTGTAAGCTACACTCCTCTGGCTCCTGTGCCAAACCCACCTCCATGCAGCGGGAACGGCCACTGCCCTACAGCCAATCCTATTCTGCCAGCAGCATCTTTCATGGGATCCCAGGACAGGAGCAGGGCTGGAGCACTGCAGCTGGGGGAGGACCAGAGAGCAAGCTCTCAAGGGTCAAAGGAGATGTGCTGGAACAAGCACCTCTTAGCAGGATCCTGTAGCTGTGGACTCTTAGATCTGATTCTATGCATGTCCTTGACAGGCATGAGAACGTCCATTACCTGACTTACAGATTACCACACATCAAGTCATACGGAAGTGGAAGGGCTGAGTAATTCGCAGAAGTGATAAAGCATAAGCTCCTGTTTAAACTTTAGCTATGTACTTGTAAAGTTACAGACATCCAACTTCCTATCCAAACAGGACAGTGGGAAGAGCATACAAACAAAATGGCAAGACAACTCTAACATTACTTAAAACTACCAATTCTTACCTCATTTCAATGTCCCACAATGCTGTATCGTCACTTATCCAGGGATTGGAAGGCTCAGCGGGAGTTATAAAGGGGTCATATTCCACATACTGCTCTGTGTAGGCTATTAAACTGACACATAAAAAAAGAAAAAAAAAAGAATCAGGGCCTGAATGTTCAGTCCCCTGTCAGAGAGGTACAGCTTTTTTTTTTTTCCTTTTTTTTTTTTTTGTGTGTGTGTGCTTCTTTTTATTTTTGTAGTGATTTGTCAGTTTCTCAGCAACCACAGGAGTCCTTTTTCCCAGGGATGATGCATGCAAGGATTTCTCTGCAAGCACCCACCAGCTTACTGCAGTATTTTCCTCAAGATCATCTCTGTTGAGACACCCACGAAATGCCCGATGAGGCAACAACTGGATTGCTATGGTAGGACTTCCCCCAGAGAGCCAGGGGATGACTACAAAGCACGTGTCCTCCTCTTCATTTGTTGCACATTGCTACTGCCTCTTGCCCTTTTGGTTTTGCAGACTTCTGCACCTACTTAACTTTATGTGTTATGAGTAACTCATCTAAATAGGGTCATGTGCTGTAGCTAAGAATGTACTTAAATCTTTGGAGGATCACAGTCCTGAGCATCAAAGCTTCAGGCTATAGATCATTGTTTTGTTACATTCTTATACCACTTATGTCTAATGGCACTATTGTAAAATTCTTTAACAGTAGCTTATAATAATTAACTTAGAATGTAGTAAATTATATGCATGTTGGAAAAACACCTGGCCTTTATACTGGCTTGCTTCATGACGAGTCGGATAAGACGTATAGCCTCTAATCCTCACTAGGATGACATTCAAAAGAGCTTCCTGGCAAAAGGACTCCATCTGCTTGCATAAGTGATTCAGGAATTCCACTGGGGTTGGGGCTAGGGGCGCGTTTTTGCAAAAGAAAGACAGCATATATGAAATAAATCAAAAGAAATTTGTCCTAGTCTATATTAGAAATACTCTAAGGCACTTTTTAATTTTTTTGCCTAGGTCTGCCAAGTAATTAACTAAGTTAATTGAGTCTCATCACACTGAACAACTAATCTACTTGCACTGTGATTGTCCATGCTAAACTTTACCTCTGGTCTTCCACATTTTGGAAAGGCAGGAGAATGAAAAGACCCTGTGAAACAAAGGGTCACAAAAGGCAGAAAGTTTGCCTGACCTGCTCTACAGTAATTATTTCTTTTTGTTTGTCCTAGCTCTTATCATGAGGCATTAAAATCATACACTTTTGTAACCACAGCAGGTTCCCATTGCCCCTCAGGGCACTCAGGGCTGTCTCATCTCATTTCATTAATTACATTTCATGACTGCTGTGGGTCAAGGGTTGGAGGAAGGGAGCAGCGTCCAATTTCAGAGAGCAGCAGCAATCCCTGAGACATCAATGAGAGAAAGGGTTGGTTAAAAAAAAAACCAACAAAAAGGATCAATCAGGAGATACCTGCTGTGAAACTTGAATTGCTCCTAATAAAATAATAAGAAGGCATCAGAGGTGCTAGTACAAGTACTAGCAAAAATAAAAGGGGAAAAAACTAAATTAAATGAAACAAGAAGGAACTGCTAAGCACGTTTTGCTGATTCAGTATAATGACAGCAGCGGAATTGTTGCCTCATTGTCTAAAGGAGGCTACAGGCAGGGGACTCCTAAGGGAAAGCGTTTCTGTCAAAATGCAAACCTGGATTTCTGGCCTTTCAGGTGATGCACTGTAATTCTGGTACAAGAGGTGGTGGGAAGAGCTCACTGTAGGGTGCAGAGCTTGCCTTGAGAACCCAACTGTCTTGCAATCAGGGAGCCTTCACAGTAACTCTGAGGAGCTGAGAGGATAACACAGATTTTCATCTAGGGAGCTGGGACTGCTTCTGCTAGGAAGATGCTCTGGTTTTCCCCAGCCATTTCTGTGACGCCACATGTAGTGGGATTGCACTAACACTGCACGATGCAGTCAGGGAAAACAGCAGGTAGAATATATTGATAGTTTTTCTCAACAGTTCTCAAATCTCATTGCCAAATCCTAAACCTGACAGTGTACAGGTCCCAACTGGGGGGAAAGGATGTGGAAGAAAGGAGAAGAAAACTGTTTCCAAGGTGCCTGGAGCAGCTGATGGATGCCTGCTCCCACAGTTGGTGCAGATCTACTCTTAGAAGGGCAACAGGGAGGAGGGGGAAGAAAATCGTTAGTAGTGAGCACTGGGGATAACCTTGAGGGAGCTGGGGATAACCTTTTGAGAGCCTTTCCATTCCTCTTCTGCTGGACAAGGGCTATCCCATAGAACAGCATGCATTCATGGAAAATGTATGTGGTTGGTCACCACTAGTAAAATAATTTATATCTTATTCCTATAACAGATTAGACAGCAGCTTGTTTCCCCCACCACCTCCTGCCTTATTTGCTCATCATTACTTCCCTTGTCCTGCCTGAAATTGCCTTTGTGCTGTACTGAAAAAATGGCAGGTGGTGCCGCTGTCAGGCTTGGCTGTCGAAAGGAGCGTGCCAAGAAGTTGTCTCCTGCAGCCTGATCTGACACACTATCACTTAAACGAGTCTCAAATCGGGGCCCAGCCTGACTTGCTAATAATGGCACCTCCTTACACAGCAGATTTGTTCCTGGCATTTGTATTCAATGTTTTACATTGGGCTTTCAGGCCGCACAGGTTTTTATTTCAGGCAATTGTTCAACTTGGGTCATCCACATTAATTCCTCCTCACCCATCCCCACCCCTGTCAAGCCACTGGACTCATCAGCCCCTCTCCTTCCCTCCCCGCCTGCTCCGTGATGCTCCACGTCCAGGCTGTGCATCCCACCACTCAGCACCAAGCCCTGGGACCCTCCAGCAACGCTGCCACCCAAAGTCATCACAGAACCGAACACTTCTTCACTTCTTGTGATATAAATACCACAACTATGATTTTAAGTCTTTATAAATTCAAAATGAAACTTTCAAAACAGGAGAAAAGAACTTTTTGATTGTTCTCATTTTATTTACTTTTCTCCTGGTTATCAGTTTGCACAGGTTTTGATAGCAACATTTTCTTAACCAATTTGGGACCAATTAAAAAAAAAAAAAATAAAAAAAGCCCTTTCAAACACGGAAAATTTTCTGTCCCGTTTTACTGAAAACTAATAGGGTTTTTTTTGGCATTGACAATGTTACATTTATAATGTCAGTAGCTCCTTACAAACTAGAACAACAGGTATGTTATGTGGACAGGATCTGATGTTCACAAGACTCATACTGAGTCTATCTTATTGAATAAATACCTACCCTAGAAAAAATTCAAGCAAACCAGATCTGCTTGCTTGTAAATTACCAGCCTGGAAATTATTACTGTCTCAGTATATTAAAGTCATTGTAAGTAAATTCAGTACAAAATGACATTTTTTGGTAAAGCACAAATCTATCTTCTTAATAAAAAAAGAACCAGAAAGCCCAAAACCTAAATATGAATGTGCTAATTTCAACTGTACAATACAGTGTATGCAGGATTTCAGGGAGCCTCTGAATATTTTCTATTTAATTGGATAAATTTTCATTTTAATTATGTTAAACTTTATAAGCCAATAGGAACTTACTTTGGGGCTCTCACCATTTAATTTGCCTATTTTAGTACACACATGCTAATTACAGGTGCAGGCACTGCAAAGCACATTTCACAGGGTAATCTGGTTTTAATTTGCTTAAATAAAAATTCCTCTATTATTTCTCTACAAGGCACCAGCCTTTATCATGTTCCTCACGTTCAACACAGTTTTGCTCTAAGAGCAATGTTACCGAAGAGCATGCCAATCCCTACATTTGTCTCAGCGATTCCCCTGCAAATGTGCATAACTTACAAGTATCTAAGTAAAGGAGCTGTCATTCTCAATTAAATTTGAGCTTGTTCTTTACCTGTTCATACTTTCCCACCAGAACTAAATATTCTGCAAATCAAATTGTGCCTTGATTTGCCTCTATGAGAAATCCACCTCTTAAAACGCTGCCTTGAGTAGTCCAGGTAGAACCCCAGGGTTTCATATGCACAAGTGGGAGCAGAAACTGGCCCTACAACCCCAGTATGAACATAGACATGAACGCCATGTGCGACAAGACACAAACGCAGCTCCTTCCCCAGAACTGTGCCAGACTAACAAGAGATAAGCACTGAGAGTTCACCCACAAAAGAAAAAAGGGTATTTTCAAATTGAAACAGGAATGACTTTTCTGTAAATAAACTCTACGGTTGTGAGGGGGTGGGAAACAAAAGTACTGCAAGGGTTCTTTCTTTTGTGATTAATATTCCTTTTGCTTTTACCGTACGACAGCATCCTCATTTTTCACCTACTTTTTCTCAGTGGCAGAAGAGCGAGCGTCAGTGGTCAGCAGACAGGCAGCACAGCCGGTCAAGGAGGGGGAAGGATTGACGCACAGAAAGGGGACCAGCATTTGTGCATTCCTGCCTGCTCTCTGTTTCTGGAAATGCCAAACTGGAGATGAGGAAAGAACAGGAAACCATGCAAACGGGGACACTCACCTTTCTGCTACTTTAGACATCTTTAAACAATGCCTTTCTATCTGCACGTTCAGAAAAGTTATCTGAGGAGAGAGGTGACAAGGACATTAACAACCTAGGAGCTCTACAGCATGCATTGATCATATCCCAACATGCTATTGATTTCTCTTTCCAAACAGCTTGAAAGTAACTCAGAAGGAAATGGGACCCTTCCCTAGGTATTAGAAGAAGCTTATTAACTGCTTCCAACAGGAGTCTCCATTTCCTATAGCAAAGCCCCAGGGGAATCTTCAGAACACATAATTAAAAGTAGGAAAGGCACATATTTGGGGTCGAGGTTCCTAGACTATTCAGGCCGCAATATGATCCCCTTTTTACACCACACTCCTCTCTCTCATTTCTCTGACTGGCATCACAAGACCAATAACCATTTTACAGCACATTTGCACTCTGCTATGAACTAGTTATTCACAGTACTCTGCAGCCTATGTTGCATATGACGGAAAAAGCTCAAGAAATCTAGCGTTCAGGTTTAGTTCAGACCACCGCCCTAAAACTGGCTGCCTAAGAAACATGTTTAAAGCTGACTTTACTAAATTGCTGACCTAGCGATTCCTGCCTGTACTTCAATGAGTGCTGCTTGTTGCAGGAAAGCAATTGCGAGGGAGAGCTCCCTGTGCCAGGGCAAGGATGTGCGAGTTGGCTGGCTGTTCCTTGGAGTGATTGTGCAAATAACTTTTTCCCAGTTCCTTAAAAGCTCTGACTGTACAGTCTAACAGTCATGCACCAAACAATGCCTTTCCTCACCGCCCATCCCCAGCCTGCACCCCATTACGCTGGCTTCTTCCCCCCAGCCTTTGTCACTGCCCACTTTTCAGATATCCTCAGTGATCTGGAAATTCATCCGTCTACTGGCCCACAGAGAGAATAATACTAGATTCAAAGGTCAGTATTACCCATAATAGGGATCATCATACAACCACAGTGCTCAATTAATATATCTATCTATCTATCTGTATCTTTAAATACTTCCTACTTTACAGAAAGCATATGAGGATCAAGGACAGGTAACGCATATAATTGGTTTCGCTGATATCTCCATAACTTTACATGTGTTTTTTTTGGTGTTTTTTTTTTGCAGCTAACAGTTCTCAGAAGAGTTGCCGTATAGCCATCTACTTACTTGTTTCCGGAAATCCTCTTTTGTAGTTTTGCGTACAGGTTGGGAGGGTACGTGTACGGGGCTTTGGGGCTGAGACTCCTCTGTAACCCCATATACTGACTGTGAGGAACCAATAAACAAACAGAAGAGATTATGGCATTTCTCTGTTACGCAATGAGGAAAAAGCGCAGTATGCAGAACAGAGGGTAACAAGCCAGCAATTTCCTACTGTTTATATCCACACAGGTCAATAATCATTTAGCCTAGAGCAAAATTTACAGATCAGACTGTGCTTGCAGGCGCCTGCACTTGGAAGGTCTGCAGGCACGTTAAGAAAAGGGTTTATTTTAAATGTTAAAATGCAGCTGATAATTTTTAGGAGCTCTGAAGGATGAGTGTGTCAACGCTTGCAGGACAAATGCTGGAAACGGTCACTGTGGTGAACCAAGCAGAGAAAGAAAAGACGAGAACCTAATCCTATGCCATTTTCTTCCACTTGGTTTAATCTCTTGTTGTAAAACTACGCATTGAAGAAAGAGCTTAACCAGGTGCCAGTGAGTCAAGTTCAAATGAACCTCTCGAAATGAAAACCTGCAGATTGACTTGTAGCCATTCATTTTCAGGACAGAGACCTGCACTGAAAGCAATCTCAGTCACCCTTTCATTTAGTGCTTTTGCTTTTTATTTAACATTTGTAAGAGACTTGTGAATAGCTCTGCTACAATTTAGCTTCCAATGGAAGTTCGGGAGTCTGGTGTCACCCCCAAAACCAATATATACACAGAAGAGCTAAAACTTGCTGGAAGTCAAAGGCACCCACATTGCTAATGGTCCAGCCTTTGAAATTATTAAGGTGAGTAAACAGGTCTGAAAAAATCTGTGCCCAAATAATTTCTGAAAATGGGACCTAGGTACATTTGCCAATTGCTTTTAATTTTATGGGAGTGCAGAGCCAGCAGACATCTGGGACACAGAGCTCCTTAATGCCCTTCTCAGCTACATCAGTCACCCAGCCTGTACCGCTCTGTTGGCAAAATGGGAATAGTAAATTCACAGATTAGAACAAAACGGAACTGATATTTGCAAAACACTTTTTTTGGTTCCTACTGGGAAACCCTGGTATACTGTAGGTGTCAAGCGTGATTTGCATTTAAAAAAAACCAACAAAACCAAAACCAAACCAGAAACTCAAACTGACCTTTTTCACCTTCTGTGGGTTTTTCATACGACGACACTTTCTAATGTCCATTTCTGTGGTGTTCACACAGCCCGGCTGAAAAGAGATGGTAATCATATTACTCCTCTGTTTACAATCCACATGCTGCCTTACCTTTCTAAAATATACAATTAGATCTTGTCCAAAATTCTCTCCTGAAGTTTGTGTCCCATAAGTTATGCTTGCTAAACAAGAGACTGCATACACCAAAGTCGGCAACTCAGCATCAAATCCATTTGCTCATAACTTTGGCACCAAAAGGAAATCTCTCAGCTAAGAGCAGAGCTTTTTCTAAGAATTCTGAGCCAAACCAGGTAAGCTGCTTTTCTTTTGTATAAGGAATAAATAATCTTCAAAACTTCATGTTTATCATATATTTCTGTATTGGGTCTGGCTAAGATGGAGTTAATTTCCCCCTTAGCAGCCGTCATAGTGCCGTGCTTTGTATTGGTAGCTAGAAAAGAGTTGATAACACACCAGTGCTTTGGCTACTGCTGAGAAGTGCTGGCACAGCATCAAGGCTGTGTCTCCAACACTTCCCCCTCACCAGTAGGCTGGGGGTGGGCAAGATCTTGGGAACGGACATAGCCAGGAGACCTGACTCAAACTGACCAAAGGAACATTCTGTAACAGATGACGTCTGCTCAGCAATAAAAGCTAAGAGAAAGGAGGAGGGGGCGGCATTCGTTATTACGACATTTGTCTTCTGGAGCAACTGCTGTGCATACTGAAGCCCTACTTCCCAGGAAGTGGCTGGACATTGCCTGCTGATGGGAAGTAGAGAATAAATCTTTTGTTTTCCTTTGCTTTTGCTCTATTAAACCGCCTTTATCTTGACCCATGAGGGTTTTTTCCATCTTATTTTTCCCCCCCTCATCCTGCTGAGGAGGGGAGTGATAGAGCAGCTTGGTGGGTACTTGGCATCCAGCCAAGGTCAACCCACCACAATTTCCAAATCAATACTTCCATGCATGCAGAAGCCTAGAACGTCTAAAATAATCTTGTAGACACTTGGCTTGTTTTGAACTGCGAGCAAAATCCATGTGGTGACTTTCAAAGCAATGTCTTTGTGCAATACATGGCGCAGTGTTTACTAGTATTAAAACTTTCCTGTCAAAACTTGGAAAGTCTCATCATTCAAAAAGAGCTTTACCACAGGCCTGTGCACATCCCAGAATGCTCTTTCCTGGCTGTCCAAAATCTTTCTTTCTGTTTTATCCTTTTTCCTGTCGATTCTGAAAACAAAAGCATAAACATATGAGTCAACATACAAGTAATGCTTTCCTCTTTGTTACACTTCCTAGCTGGAGTTTTAACCCCATGATAAAAAAAATCCGAAATCCACTTTTTGTCCAGAACTGTCACACTCCTGCTTGCAAGGCCATGTGCCATGAACAAAATATCACTGATGTTTGCTCCAATATGTGTCAAAAGAGGTTTTCCTAGTAAGGTGGAAAATTTGTTTTAACACCTGCTTTTTCATCTGGTGAGGAAAACAACCTTTCCTGATACTCTGTTCCCAGACCCTGATTAGGCAGGCTGCGGGAGTTCATGTTTGGCTTTGGCTCCGTCAGGAGGCCCACCAGGACCTCTTTGCTCCAGGGAAGCTCTCAGCTGGTGCTGGGCAGAGGTCCACATCAGGACGTCCCGTTGCACCCCGGTGTCCCAGAAGCACCGCTGGTATGGCCAGAGATTGCGAAAGGGCAGCTATCCCAGGTGGTTCAGGCAGAAACAGCACAGGCAGCACTTGGGGTCACCCTCCTTAGGGCTCTGCTTGCCTGCCCCGGCGTTGGCAGAGCAAGGGGTGACAGCACAGGCGACTGCAGCCGAGCTTGCTGCGTGGCCCCGTGCAAGCCAGCGCTCACCCAAGAGACATGCAACTGCGCCAGCACAACTGCAACTCGATAATTTCAGCCCTGACGCAGCCAGTGAATTGACTCAAAGCACACAGATCAAAGGCCGACAGAGGTTGTTCAAAGCAATTCTTCCCTTATCTCTCGGCAGCATTGAGCAGTGCATGTCTGGTGCTTCACTCCCGTGCTCAGCTCTACACATGAACACAGCAAAGTCCCCACCGGCTTGCAAGATCTACCTGTAGAGAGACTGGATGAGGCACAGGAAAGGAGGAACCGCTTTTGCCTTCAGAGCACGTTTGAAAAGCTGACAGTGTCCCTGTGCTGGGTTCCTGCAATGCCGCCACCCGGGAAAATCAAAGCAGTGAGGAAAAAAACCACGCGAGCTGGGATTTCTGACCATCAGGTTCCCCCCTCTCCTGTTTTTCTTTTGGAGGGGCAGTGATCCTTGGCTAAATCTGTGCTAGAAAGGTACCAAGGGGATAGAAAACAGGGGACTGAAACTGAAGTTTCTGAACACCCCTCCCCACAAAAAGCCCAAGCTCTCCAAAGTTCAGTATCGCTCTCTGAATATCCCCCCTGCAAGGCTGAGATGAGAAACCAGCTTTGCACAGGCTCTGTCCCCTCTGCCAGACAGCAGTCACTGCACTGCGCTGAGGAGCAAACGCGGACACCCAGCCCAAAACCTCTTTTTTCTCAGCGAGCCCTTCGTGCGTGGCCAAAGGGGAAGGTGAAGTCTTCTGCCAACCTCACACCCCACAGCACACAAAAACTGGAGGGACTCTTTGGAGGCTCCATGAATTGTCTTCACGGGTGCTTTGCGCTGAACCCAGGTTCTTGGCTCAAATCCCCAAACTTACTGATAACTCACTATTTCACATTTTAAACTACGAAGACACAACATAATTAGGTGCTCCGTGGCTGCAGTTTTTGAGCAATGTAGGTACAGCAATGGAAGTCCTGTGTGCAAATGAAGATGTGGAAGGCAGAGCAGAACTTGACAAGCCGGAGGAATGTTTTCAGGTATTTTTGGTTTGTTTTCCTTTTTAGTTAATTCAGGGCTGTGAATTCCAGCCCTGCCTTGTTGGAAACCTGAAGACTGAACCATCGCATGAACTGGGAACTAAGAAGCTGAAACTAGCCAGCAAAAAAAGTTGATAGTGGCCAGTCCATGCTTACCTTTCAAAGAAAACTGAATGGAGAAAAGATGAATAAGCAACAGTGATCACGTCAAGAATCTGATATTTATATTTCTTAGGTAATAACTGTATGCTGTGGACAGAACGCAGAATTTTGTTTTGACTTAGATTTTTATATTTTTTTTCATCTTGGCAATAAACCTTTAAGTAACTGAAATTACAATTGCTATCTTAACTTCTAATTTTCTCTTCCAAACAGAACACTGGTATTCTGGTTGGAAAAAATCCCTTAATTACCTTGTAAATTAAAGGATAATTACCATGTACTTAAATAGTGCATAATTACAATGTTATTAAGCAAAGAATGAATCAAAATTCCAAAGAGTTAATCAAAGATAGAGACATATACCTCAGCCACAACCTCAAGAAATAACGCTCCTTAACTTTTTAGCATCTAATGCTGAAAGTGCAAATTCCTTCTAGTAGTACAGAGTGTCAGTACTGGTGTTCTCATGCGCCATCTTCACCAGCCTTTCCATTTTATAGGTGACAACTACATGCACAAAATGGACATGGAGGGTTTTAGGCGCTAGTTTGTAGACACTAGTCTACAAACCCTGGACCATACCCACTTTGCAACAATAATGAAAACATGCACAAAACATTGAGAGGCTTCAAACTGTTTTCACAAGGGAGGATGAGGAAAAAAAAAGAAAAGAAGTAGATTTCAATTATGAGCAGAGGATAGGAAAAACCCAAATACTAATTCTGAGTAAGTTTCATGTCAGTGGTACTCAATTCTCCACACTAATTTAGTAGCACAAGTCAGACTGCAGAGAGTAGAGGTACAATGCAGTCACCTGGGGATTGGTATAAATGAGAGAACCAAATCCGGTCTGCTGTAAATACCACCCTTATAATCACTTTGAAGTGGCAGTATTTTTAAACTCAGAAATACTTTACAAGCATGGAGTAACACAGGTGACAAAGTTCTGTTATTTCCATTTATACAAACCAAAAATACTAAAGTAGAAGCAGAATGGGCAAGCGAATTGCCCAAGCTCCCATGGTGAATCCAGGCCTGGGAGTTCCTGACCAACACTTCTATGTACAGATAATTAAGCCCATCTTTCAGATTCTGTCACAAATCTTCATGACTGGCTATCTATTGTTTCTAGTCTGCCGGTGATTAAAATTCACCAACACCTTCTGAGCTTAGTTGCAGTAAAGACTTTGATAGAGAAGTTTTATCTGTACAGAATCCCCTTCCTTTCACAGCTCTAAATACTGGTGCAGTTCAGTGCTCCAGGATTACTCACTTCACTTGGGCCTCAGCTTGCATGAAGATGAATTCCCACTTTCTTGCAAATGCTCTCTGAAGTCTTGCTAAGTTTTCCTGACAAAAGATGAAAACAGTAAGAACAATTAATCCCTGTAATTGTAACAACTGCTTAAGAGCACAGTTACATGGCGGGTGTTTATTTTATTCCTTTTTTTTTTTTAAGCTGGAAAACTCAAGACACAGAAGTCCGTGTTGGTTTCAGGTGAACTATCTTGCAGGCAAAGCAAGGGTGTAACACATCCTTTTAGGCTGCAGCCAAGAGGGCCCTGTCAGGGAGAAGTAATGGAGTGTGATGAAGACAGCCTGAGCTCTACTATGAAAATAATGATGGACTTGTTCCCAAAAGATAACACTGGGAAGCTTTGTGAAGCTGATGACTTTCATTTCTGATAGCAGATGGCTGCCACCTGCATGTTCCCCTCTCATCCCCACTTTCCCTTCCTCCCCCCACTGCTCTCTTCTCTTCAGGCTTTTGCTAAGGTGCAAAGCCTGAGCATCCCTTGCTTTGCTCAGTCCTGGTCATCGCTGAGAGCATTATGCAGCTGCACAGCACTGAAGGCTGGGGATTGCCAGGATGATTCATAAAAGGAAATAGCTTGTTTGTCTGAACAATGAACATCTAACTGCAAAGACTGGGTCCAGATGCAGCCTTGCTCTACCATCTGAAGTAAGAGTTCTGGTCCAGATCCATTACAGAGAGTGTCGTGATCTAAACACTTGGAGGTGGATGTGACTTCATCACAGCTCAAGGTCAAACTCAGGTCACGGCCAGGATTTCAGGCTCAAATAGCACCCCCAAGTCACATATCCACACCCACCCCGATAAGGACACCTACAAGACCATTAATCTGATGCTCTTCTCCATTACAGGTGGTTCAACTGTTGCAAATTTTCATTGAAAATGAACACTATTAGTTCTACTGCTGTTCTTTTTACCCCTGTTCCCTTTATTTCAAGAAAGGGCTTAAGCACGTGCATTTCAATGCTAGAAGAAATCTTCCTATTATTTACTTTAAACTCTTGTGTAACACAAGGCATAAAGCTTGGCCTTGTTACCACCAAGTCCATGTAAGGATTTCAGTCCATATACACAGAGGAAAACAGTTAAGCAAATGATTTACAGCTGCGCTGAACTGTGATGATTTCCTTAACTGTGGCTACAAGGAAGAACTACTTGTAATTATCTGCAAAAACAATTTTTGTGGGTTTCTTTTTTTTTATTTTGTTTTAAATTATGTTCACATGTGCCCTCTGGAGTAAATATGCTGAAGCCAATGAAACTTCACCAGTTGAAGCAATATTTGAATTGTGCTTATGTTTGGCCAATTATAAACAAAATTGAATGCAATTATGCAAGCTTAATCATATCATCAAGAGCCCTGCTCCACCAGTATAAATGGGGGGTGGGGGGGTGTTTATGAATGCTGCAAGCAGAACCTTAAAATGAGAAGATGTCCCCTGAGATGCTTTGTAGAGATTCCCTTTGGAAACGCCAGGTCAGGCCTGATGCCTGTGGAGAAGCAGTCTCATGCTACATCTCCAAAAATGTGTCCTAAGTGTACAGGCCTCCTTCCCACTCCTGTAAGCCTGTCTCTCTCACTTGTGCTTAGCTTACATCTCCTTGCTGGATCTGCTTCAGCTCCCATAATGACTAGGAAGAGTCAATGCCATTCTTATCTGATTGTCTCTAATTAAGAGAGCAAAGTTTGAATGCAGAAGTAATCTCTAATTGTGCAATGCAATATTCACAAGAAAAATGAAAGACTGCCAAGATCTAATTATTTGCCATCACTGGAGCATTGCTACTCTCAGTAGACAACGATGTGCAAAAGTACTTAGCCATAGCCTCGCTGCATGGGTGTGGGAGTGTGCGCGCTGCTGAACAGCCTTTTGTTGCTTTATGATAGATCTTCAGAGTACTTACAGCTAATTGGTTGTCTGTGAGCAATTTTAATGGTTTTAATAATGAAATCAGCAACATGCAGAAGAGAAAACTCAGCAAAAGGATGCGTAAGTGCATGCAGATTATTATATTCCTTCCTTTATGCCTGTACTTCAAGATTAGAACTCTTGGGAACTCTGGATGCATTTCCAGGGTGGACTAGATGAGTGGCAATTTTTGCACGCTCTTCACTGAAAGGACCAAATGGCATGTGTATATATCCATGTGCACAAAAGTCCCAAAATGTAGAAGGTAAGGAAGAAGGAAAAAGTCCATTCTTGGAAAAAAACCAACCCTAAAACATATACAATATAAATGTTTTCATTGTAATAAACATGAACACAAAAGTTCAATAGAACTGGCTTTGTAAACAAACTCTCTCCAATGAAAATCTCCACATTTCGAATTCAGCTGTTACACTGTTGAGCTAGTGAACAAAAAAAAGTCAGCATGATAGAAAGAAAAGTTCAGCTGGTCAGAGTGTTACACTGCTGGTATTCAAAGAAACTCACACCAGCCCTGCCCCTGCTGCCTCCATCTTCCCACTTCTCCCCACCCAAACCCTGCACAATCTGAAGCCAAAATTGGGGATATTTTTATGGATAATCATTTCATAACAGAAAACATGCCCTGAATAAGCTTGAGTAATAGTTTTTTATATGGCGTATTGAAAACAGTCCAAGTCTAATATATGAAAACTTTCATAACTAGATGGGTCCTCGGCAATTTAATTGCCCAATAGTGCACCTGAAAATCCGTCATTTCCATGTGTTAATATCTGCTATATAAACCAGGAACTGTTAACTGGAAATAGGAAACAAAGGTAAACTTCTGTGTAATTTGCCCCAATCTTGGAGGGCCAGCTAAACAGCAGATGCTTCAATCTGAGACATTGCAAAGCCGGGGATGTTCCTCAATTGTGCTCCTGACATCGTCTCCAGATCAGCCTTCACACTATTCTGACAACTAAAAAAAAGACACCTTAAAGGCTGACCCCAAAGCACAAAATGGCAGCATTCAATTGGCAAGCAAAGCTCTCTCTGTACCCCCCAGGGTTAAAGTCTAGCAGCAGTGTACCTACGGCTTCATAATCCGCCAACTCCAGCCTAGCTTTGTTCTGCATGGTCCGTTTGCAAAGATAGATGGCTAAAGGGAGAAACAGAATGGAAAACAATTACAGACAGATTATTAGTACTAGATCTTAAAAAAGAAGAAAGTGGTTCATGCACTGTTCATTCTCATCAGAAAGCAACATGGAATAAGAGGGCTGAATACCCAGCTGACATTACCACTAGTAATCTCAGAGGCCTTAAACATCTGGGACATCTCATTTAGAAGTGCTGAGTATAGATGCCAGGACCTAACAAGATGTCTGAGAAAGGCACAATTGCTTCTGGGGCTGGTAAAAGATTTAGCATTAGCAACATGTTCCCCTCACCACTTTGGGAATATGCCTGCCAAACTGAGAAGCTATGCCCCCCTTTTTCCCTTTTGTTAAAAAAAAAAAAAAAAAAAAAAAAAGGATATTGAAATGAAAACAGAAATACAGACCAGATCTTAAAGGTATGATCTGAGCTTTTTTTCATATGCTCCATCCACTTATTCTACACATTTCAAATGGTTAAGAAAAGCCTTCTCACATTTTACCATAGGCAGACACTGTAGAAACTGATGTGGTTTGGGATTCGGAGGGTCAAGATGAGCCCAGTGTACAACACCAAACCAGTCCTAGGCTGCCTTCTGGGAAAGTCTCAGCTGGACCTGCTAGCTCACCCCGTTTCCATTACGTGCTGAAACACAAGGTCCGCAGTACACACTGGGTATACAGTCAGGACTGAACTACATAACAGAGGCCCAGTGCTCTTGTTTTGGGATAAATCTAGATGTGAATTTTATAGCTTCCTTGTGTTTTGCCCTCTTTCATGCTGCAGGGCCAAGTACTTATTGTGCAACATGTGCCAAACTGGAGCAGGGCAGAAGGCAAAGCATCATCTACAGAAAACTGCAATAGATCTTTTTCAGAAATTTTCAGCTTTTCTTCAAAAATCACAGGGTTTTGGTTTGCTGGTAAATACAATTTTTTGACACCTTCATGGATGTTTTTCATTGGAAACCTGTTCTTCATTGAAAATACATGAAAAAAAACCCCAAACCAGTGCTACTCATGTAATTCTATTCTATGCTATTCCTGTAATTCTAACATTCATATAATGAGCCAATATTATGCATGGTAACCAGAGCTGATCAGTTCATGTATATTTATACATCTCAAGGGCAGTTTCCTCTCTAAGCCATTCACAACACCAAATAAAGCAAGAGTCAGTCATCTCACAGTATTTCGTCATGCTAGGCAGTGACCTGCCATTAGCAAGTTAGTTCCTGTTCTGTGAGTGGATCCTTGCAAATAAAAAAAGTATAAAGTGCTGCTGGGATTTCAGTTTTATTTGGGTCTACTGCTAGTTTGGGATTAATTCCTGGGAAGACTCCATCTGTACAGACCTCTGATATGCAAAGACTTATTATAAGCATATGTTAGAGATTTCTGGGACAGATGAAAATCTGTCACTACAGGGCTCAGAGCCAATGCAGTTGCAGCTTGTCCAGCTGTGGGTCAGCTCATATAGGGCTTTATTTTGAGGTGTGCTGCTCCACTCAATGCCCTTGCAGCACAATAATCTGACTGTGAAACTAGTTATTTATCAGATACTATAGGAAAAACACAGAACTTCCTCTTCAGATTGCTATTCTGATATTTAGAGAATATGTACTTGGCACAGTTCAGACAGTTATATATGGTGACTGTAAAATCTGGAAATTATTTTGCATATAATGAACAGCATCATGTTCTCTCCTAAGCAGTTCCCTCACTGGGATAAACACGTAAGTCTGTGCTAGCTTCCCTGCAGATGAGGACTGCAAATGAACTATCACATGACAGACACCATTGCAGGCTACTTCTCCACCCTAGCAAATGATTTCCAGAATCCATAATGATGAGTAATTATTGCCCAGGAAAGAAAGAAAAAAAAAGTGATTATTCAGGGAAGAGTTCTAAACTGATCTTAGGTTATGAGATATTTCAAAAGGACTTCCAGAAGCTCCTGTTTTATGAGCGCACACATGGATTCACTTCCTCTTCCAATGCCACACCAGGATGCAACAATTGATTTTATCATTTAACTGTGAAAGAAGCACAGTTCTGGAAGAGACAGCAATATTGCATGCAGACAGCTAAAGATAACAACACTGACATATTTTTTTTATGTATTACCACTGTCTGCAGGCACTCACATGTTTAACACACCATGTTGCAGTTTATTAGCTCATAAACCATGCTAAATCTTCTCTTTTTTACCAGCTATCATCTAGTAATCTTAAAAATCTTAAAAAAATGGGAAAAATAAGTCTGATGTCACAGATCAGAGAACTTTAACTATGGGCTGCCATCAGTTATATACTGGTTTATTGATCAGTCAGATGAGTGCCCAGATGAGGTAACTTTTTATTGATCAACATATCAGATTCAGCTACAGATCAGGTTATGTTCTCCCACAAAAGCAATATTGGTATTATTTAAGATTCCCAAGGAGCAGTATTCTGCTTGCTGTAAATCCTGCCAAAACGGACAGAGCTATGAGAGAATGAAGGTGACGGTAGGTAAAACCCTGACCCTACTGAACTCGATGGCTACAGCTCTGTAGGCTTGAAACACCCTGGGATTTCACTTCATGTGTTTGAGACAAGCACATATCTGCCTCTGATGCTGCAGTCTGACAAGAAACTCTGCTGATGCAGGGTTTAGGTGGCCAACAGTAATTATTTTAAGGACAATTTTTTCCATCACAAACTTTCTGTACTAACTTTCTACAATGAAATAATTACACTCTCACCATAATCTGTGTTTTCTGGTTCCCAGCAGTTTGAAGGCCAAAAGTATGGTGCCTAAGAAACAACATACACATTTTTGTAATTTAAGAGATGAAAAACAATTCAGATGCAGAAATACATTACAAGTACAAAAAGAAGAATCACAAAGTCTATGGCCCAGTCTCTGCCCGCAGGGGAAACACTGCTACAGATCTCAGCAAAAGTGAGGATGCTTTTCCAGGAAGGTATGACCTTTAACATTCCTCACTGCAGGTAAATAGAGATGCTATAATACAAGCATCTCTTGAGGAGGGTGTCCAGTATCCTGATGACATTTTAGACATTGTTGCCAGCTCATCTGAATGTGGACCTCTTACCCTCTAACCCCAGAACCTCCTCTTTCCCCAGGAATTCACAGTCCCCCCGATTTTTTTTTTTTTTTTTTTTTTTTAGGAGCATGAGAAACCTCATGACCTTTTATATATGCTACACACCACTTGCTTTTTTGGAGCAGCTACCAGTGTGGTTGGCAGCCAGGTAGCCTACAAAACAATTTACTTTTTAAATATAACAGATGGCAGAGGTCAAAATTCAGCTGATTAAAGCAGAAGTCCTGCTAAGCTTACTGCTTTTGTTTTCTATTCAGGTCTGCATATTGCAGTTGCTACAATTAATTACAAGATATTACTACATGTGGCTTTATTTCAGTTTTAACATGAATGCAAGACAATGTCCCTGTGATCACACAAATTACAGAACACTGTTTTGCATTACTGATGTAATGCCACAAAGGGGCGAAGGACATTACGCACAGACTATTCCTTGCACCAAATGATACAGCGTTCAATGCTCCTCACTGATATAGACCTTACAAACTTCACAAGATGATGAGCTACTGTTAAAGGAGGGACTGATGTTGAGGTAGAAAGCGGCAAGAAGACAGTGATGGAAAAGAAACATGATTCTATCAGGTTATTTTTGCAGTAAACGGCTGAGGAGAACTGTTGCAGGAAATGACAACAGGCAAAGAATAAGCAAAAGTTGTAGGAAAAGATAAGGGAAAGAAAAGAAAAGTCAATAATCATTCAAGACAATTTGATGATGTGGTTTACATAGGCTTAAAATAAGGAAAATAAATTAAATTATATTGAAAACTAGCTCCCGAGAGCTGCACAGGACAACTTCTTACGGTGTCATTCTTTTAAAATAGAGAAAAATACAACTAAATGGGCAATCAGTATTAACCCTGCTTCTGTCAAATCTTGCATGGCAGGAGGAGCAGGACTTTCAGAAAAGCAAGGGAATTGTAATGAAAAATCTTAGTCTGAATGATGCCAGGTAACCAGACGGTGGGGTGAGATAAAGGGAGGTCTGTGATCTCCTGGGCTTCTTTGCTCACCGTGCCATTGGTCTCATACGATAACACAATACCACATTAGCAGTAGGACAATGAGCATGAGCAGCAGCAACATCAGACGCAAAGAGAACAGGTTTTTCAAATAAAAACCAAAAAAAGAGGGAAAAAAATGTAAAGGAGGAACAGGAGGGTGAACAGAAGAGAGGTCACAGGGAAGATAAAGAAGCTAGCTATGTTCATGTAACAGAAAACCACAAATTTAGCCAGTAGGATTAGGCAGTAGGACTCCAGGTTTGAACTTACTGCTTCTTTTAAAGTTATACAATCTGTCCAAAAGGAGTTGTTGCAGCACAAGCATTCAGTTATCTAGGGCTCTGACAGCAGCAGGTTTTGGACAGGGCTTGGAACTCAAGCACAGGATGCTTTAAAAATTCAACACTTCTGGAGGCACAGGGACACTGAGGGATAGAGATGTCCCAGCTTAGGTGACTGCTAAGGTTACACATTCTTTGTAAAAGAGCCAAAGCCTGAAGCTGCGCCCTCCCCCACCAATCTGTAACCAAGAGAGGATAAAAATCTGAATTTTCTGCTGTGCCAAAGCTTGAATGTCCAACTCCAAAGTTTGGCCTGGTCCATTTTGCACAAGAGGGTGTCTACCCAATTCCATGCCAGGGTTAGAACCTGAAAGCCATTTTCTTTCTCCTGGTTTAGTTCAAATCTGGGTACAACAGCCTAGAAATCAGATTTCAAAAATAATCACAGGACATATGCGTTCATTTATGTAAAAACTGTGGGTCAGAAAGTAGGAGTGATTTGGGATTCTAAAGCAGATCTTTTTGAAGGGCTTGAGTACCTTCCTAAGGCTTCTACCAAGACAGCCTCAATCCCTGGCTTCATAGACCTAATGGGTGCTTAGGGATAAAGAGCAGGTAATTTCAGCAGTATTATTGCAGGGACAGTAGAAGGGGCCACAAGGGAGGCAGAGGACTCACCAACCTGAAAACGATAGAATGTCCCATCATCTTTCAGGGTAAGGACATGGTCTGAGATTGGAAAGACATAACCCTGTGCAGCAATAAGACTTCCCAAGTGTATTGCTTCCCCTGTGAAAGACAGAAAACAGCAGGGATGTGTCAGGAAGATGTGCACTGCACACTCCTCTGCTTTCAGCAGTGGCTCTGGAGATGACTTGCATAAAGACCTGGTGCACACATGCCTTTCTGTACCCACACTGCATCCTTACACCTTCCAACCAAACCATGCAAAGCAGAAGAGCAGAAATCAGCCTTACAATACAGCTGAAACACTGCTCAAATGTTTAACCTGCTGGTTTTGTCTTTACAAAATGTCACACAACAGTTCAGCTCTAGAGTCTGAAATTCAGTTCAAAGCATATTATCCACCAGAAGTGACAGCTGACAAGAAGCCTGTTCCATCAGTGAACCCCACTTGCCTCTACCAAATCCAACGAACACCTGCAACACCAGGTCCTTAGCAGCATATTTATTCATAAAGACAAATCCTGACACTGCTATTTTTTAGAGGAAACTGTGCAGAGGCAGAGGGAAGTACATATCCTAGCACTCCCAGGGCAACCTTCACCAGCACAGAGGCACATCTGCACAGATTTTCAACCAATGTCAGTTGTCAAAAGCTGCATCAACTTTCTCAGAGTTGCAAAATACAATTCAGCTGCTCATGCACACCCATGCTATTGTCTGCAGCTGAAATTCAGATTTGGGACTTGACTGGACTCATGAGAAGGGATGTGTGTATAGGGATGCCCTCGGTGAGACAACACTGCCTCCATCTCTGCTTTTACATTGTGACAGTAGGTAGCAGAAACAAACTGGGAAGTGAGATGCTAGATTTCTTCCCTTTCCAGAACAAGAAAAGAAACTTCTGGGCCTGCAGATCTTTTCTCCCTCTTTTCCCAACAGTTCTTAACTGTGCCAAAACGATTTTGGTTTCTCTGAAGAGTAAATTGTTTGGACTGTGCCCATGCACTGATCACTGTTCATGGCTGATTATCCATGTATCTATCTGCTGTGATAAATTAGCAGCCATCATCTGATATCATGATGGTGTCTGTGTCATCCTTGGCCAGTATGTCCTGTCAGGCACAGCTATCTTTCTCCAGATCATGAAAACCTGCCACTGCATTTGCCTGTTTAACCACACACATCCACCAACTTCCTTTCTAAGTCTGGGAAAAACCTTAAAAATCAACCAGTCTTTCTTAGGTAGCAACAATTTCACAGACAGGCTAGGACTCCTAAAAAGTGCTTTCCGTGTGTTGCAGTGTAAGGCATTAGACTTAATTAAGATGTTGATTCTTATCTCTTTCCCTCTTCCTTCCGTCCAATGCTTAAATCAACCTTGTTGTTCTACCGGTATTTTAGACTGCAGCAAAATAGTATCTAGTGTCTAATGGCACACACGATACAGACGGAGTATCTGTTCCTCCCCAGCTATGTCACCTTACCTGGATCCTCAATGTTGAGGTTCTTCATAAGCCACTGCACAATATCAGCACCTTAAAAACAAAAAAGGTGAAGAAAGCATCAAACACTGAGACCACAGGGTTCGAGAGCCCTAGAGAGATATAGCATTGGGATGGATACAACAGAACTGACATGAATTTTATTCCATTTTCCTTTTTATCTTCACCGAGGTTTCAGAATGTTTTTCCTTCTTGTGCCATAAACTGTAATTACGTAGTTATTGACAGGTACTAAGTCCCAAGAAGTATTCTGTGTGATAGGAGACTTGATATACTTTAAGTCAGATATTACTCTAATGGTTCCATGTAACTTGTTCTCTCCCAGTTGCTTCTCTCTCATCTCAGCATACAGGGAATTATGTTTCTGCAAGCACTAGCTAGCAAGGAGATGAAGGAGCATTTACTGGCACCTCACACCTGTAATGTCAGAGGCAATAACCTAAAAGTACAGAACTGAGTTATTGGTCAAAAAAAAGACAGAGGAAAGTCTTGCTTATGTCAAAGACAAGCAGTATCTTGGAGAAGGAAGTGGTATTCAGTGTGCCTGTAACCAAGCCACTATTGAGCTGTCACCTGCTAGTGATTGCACCAGCAGGATGGTGGCCAGGAGCAGAGAAGTGAGTCTTTAAGGTCCGTCAGGTAGTTTATTAGGTTTTCAGGGCCCATCAAGTAGTACAAAGGTTGTTCCTATCTTATAAACAGCATAAAGACCTCTAGGATTGATCCCCTGCATGTATACAACCTCTCTGTTGCTTGTATGGAAATCATAGAAGTGGAAAACTTGTCACTGTTCAGTAGAAGCTAAGGCCTTGTATCAAAATACAACATGACAGGGCAGCAAAATTTAGTTAAAACCCATACTCAGGAAGTTAAGCTTAAAATGAAACATAACGGTTTGCACAAGTCAGCCAACTTGACTTGTCCAAAGTCAAAGACAATCAGCAAAGGCACTGGAGGCAACTTAGCAAGTCCATGCCAAGTTACAGCAGCATGCAGCACAACCTAACGATACCATGTCTGGATGCAGACGTAACTCCAATCCCTTCTCAGCGTACAGTCAATTTGTTGAGAAATATTTGCATTCACATACAGTAGGCTAATAGCCCCGGTAATAGTTGGTGATCTGCTTTGTGATATATCATTCGAAGATAGCATACAAAAAGGAACTGGTCGACCATATGGTTCAGGCTTACTAAACAAACCCCAGAGGATCTTATTTGCATGGCCACTTCCGAGTTCAGACACAGTGGGTACTTCAAGAAACAACATAACCCACATGATGCTTGTTCCAGAAAAGTCTGAAGGACATTTTGCTTTCTGCAGGCCCAGAGCATCCCCACGCCCTCAGCAAACCTTAAATACAACAAAGGCCAGGAGGCACAATTACGATGTGCCACAGAGACAACAGGCACTGCTAGTGTCCCAGGTCCTTGCAATATCTGCAGGTCTGAGGGACTCTCCCATACATGTGAAATTCCCACTAGAAATGTGGGCTCTACCCCATGCAGAAGGAGACAGCAGCTCCTGCTCCCCTGACAATGCATTTTGACCCCTGACTCAAGGAGCACCAGAAAAACCTCTTCAGTCAGGCTTCAGCAGCAAGCAGGAATATGGACCTGACCTCCCTCATCCCCTACCCAAGGCAAGTGAACAACCTACTTGTCCCCTGCAGGCAATCAGCAGAGCTCCTGAATCAGGGAAGCATCTGCTTTTGCTTAAATACTGGGCAAACAGATGTGACCAACAAGCAGCAGCTGGGCATTGTCTTGATCTGCCTTGATTGAAGGTATCAACAAACCAGACACTACAGGACCCATCTCACAAGCTTATATTCTCAGCTCTATGGTCACTCTCCACACCTTCCAACTCCACCTAACAGCAATTTAAGTTGCCACTATCCTATTCGGAAAGTTATTCCAGAACTCTTTTTCTTGCCTTTTTTTTTTCTCATAGATAGAACTCTTCTTGTAACTTCCCAGCCTAAGTTTATTAATATGCAATTTATATGCATTTGATATCATACCTGCATTATCATTTAATGGAAATAATTATTCTTCTTCCTTGATAGTTTCTCCTGAGTGTTTCTACAGAGGGCTGACACATTGCTTCCCTACCTTGATTTCACTAAACCAACAAAACTCTTTTAGTGTCTTCTTAAGATGGTCTTTCCCCCTACTTTACCACTCAGCAACTTTTCAGATTTAAGTTCCGTTTCTTTGCACTGGGGTCACTAGAACTGCATGCAGTACCTTGCAGAATATCTAACCAATGCCTCTGGCAATGGTGCAAGCACTTTCCTGTCTCTACTGAAACCAGCTTGTCAGGTGCATCCTAAAGTCACATCGTTTTTTTGTGAATAGTAAATTTATTCAGAAAAAGATGTCTGAGGGGTCCAAAACTACCTCCTAGATGAGAGCACATCCAGTGAACAGTGCTAGCTGAATAACATATGGAGAAAATGTTCAGAGCCAGTAACTGTTGTTTTGACAAGTTTGTTAATAAAATATTCTATTTTATAAACATGGATGTTCCCTTTTGCCTTTTACAAAACAAAAATATCCTAAAGAGAGAACAAAATATTTGGGGTTAGAAAACCATTTCAAGACAACTCAAACTGATGTGCTTATGTATTGTTAGAAACAAAACAAAACCTCACAAAAAGCTGTCTTGGTTCAAACTAAACCAGAATCTTTCTTGGTTTTTCTGTTCATTCACCAAAGTAAAAAGTCCACTGTTTCCCCTGATTTTGGCCTCAGATTACAGCCTTGCAGTGATCTCTTAGGCATCTTATTGCCAAGTGACATGACAGCTGATACTTGAAAATCATCTAGAGTAGTACATTGCTTTGCTCAAGGGAGGTGAAGTGCATTCTGCACGATCCCTTTCCAGATATACAGGAATACTTAATATGCAGGATTAAGTCCCAGTCCATTTTTACATAGAATGATCATGTCCCCAGCTCTAGGCCTCTTCTGAGGAATCTATTCAATTTTCATCAAACTACAGCGAAAAACTCAAGTAACACTGAAAGCTGGTTCCCCAGTCTGTCTTCCCCGTTGTTAAGATTAAAAAAGAAAGGTTTAAAGGGGCAAGTAAACCAAAGGCACTGACTCAACCAGAACTCCTGTGATCAGCCACTCCAGAATATAAGCAGCACTTGAGATCAGGGATTTTAATTTGTCTCTGTGAAAAACATGAAGTCATTCCTGAAGGTTGCCAAGAGCCTGGAAGATGTTATAGCCATTCTCCTGTTGTCCTGAGGCAGACAGATTATCTTTCTGCTGAGTTTGCTGAACCATTATTTATCACCTGCCAAGACTGATTACTCACCCTCGGGACAATGACAAGTCTTTCCTTCCTCTGTTAATTACTGTCATCATTAATAGCCATGTCACTAATTAATATTCAATCATAATGAAAACTCTTTACTGCCATCTCCCATAACACCTTCAATTTTTAGGGTACCCTCACACATTGGCGTTGCCTCTGCTTGTGGCTGTTTCTATCACTGCAACCTACTTTTGTCCACCTAGAAATACTACATATGCCCTTCATCGAATGAGAAAATTCAGATTTATCCTTGTAAGGCACAGTGAAAACTTGAGTGAATCTTTTACAAGACTCTCCTCTGTCAGACCAAGACACAGATTCCTTTATCTGTAAGTTTTCCAGAAAACTTCATCTTAACCTCTCCTGTAGGTTAAGCCCGATGGACAGTCCTCACATAACTCACCTTCCCAAAAAGATCTTTTCCAGCTGATTTTCAGATTCCACATTTCACAAGCTCTTTCAGAAGACACCTGAGGGAAACCCTTGACCCTGACATGTTTCTACTAAACACTAACAGGGCATTTGAGATCTTCTGAAAACAAATAGTTGGGTATGTTTTCCTAATAGAAAGTGTTGCTGGATCCAGGTAGAAGAACGGCTCCCATCTCCTCTATGCTCCTCTCCATCCATCTACATTTCCTCTGAGTCAGTATGCTCAGTTCAAGGATAGTCAACAGCCTGTGAACACCTATTTTCTCCTCACCTATAATGAAATATATCTTTTTGCTTTAGGCTCTTTGAAGCTGAAGTACATCAAGTTGCTTAATTCCAACAGAATAGCTGTATTTCTATGCACAAACAGATTCACAATGACCATTTATCCAGCTACCTGGTTTAGAGACAGACTAGCAGTTTTATATTTCTTGCTATTTTCTCCACTTTCTGTTCGGCCTCAGTGATCCCATAATAGTAGCTAGTGTTCTCAGAAGGCCATTGCCTGTCAACATGACAAATGAGTGGCCAGCCATGAAAAGATAAATTAAAAAAAAAGTTCACAAGGTGTGAGGCCATCAGCAAGATGCAGTTAATGAGGTGAGTCACCACCACTATATTTGATACCTTTTCTACTCAACCTAAGTTGTTCTACCTCTTCCAGAAAATCCAGGACTTACTTGGAAAATGTAGAGCCATCTATAATCAGATTCACCCATCTTCCACAGGCTGTGTGAAATGGCAAAGGCAGACAGGACGATGTACCTGCCTCCCGCAATTTCTAAAGATCTGCTGCCCAGCGTGGAGACTGTGCCACTGGTTCTGGGCAAAAAAGCCAGGACTGCTGGGGTCTGCTTGTCATCCAGTGGACTCGGCATGTCCCTGGCAAGGCATATGCATGTGCATACACACACATATATGTATAGAAATAAAAAATACAAAAGTATTTCTGAAACTTCAGAAACATGCATCTTTGCGTTCCTTTTTAGGCTTGATAAGACAACTGCATTTTTTGCTGAGTGTCCTGAGATGGCAGAGCTGGCAAGCACTGATGAGCAGAGCTCCACAGTGATTTGACACGGGACATCTCATGTTGCCCAGGTGTGGCATCAGTGACCAAGGACTAAAGTCTGTCCTTTCTTATAGGAGTTGCTAAGCTGAGCACTGATCACTGCATGCCATCCAGCAACTACAGCCAATGAGGTGGGATGCTTTGGATCTCAGATTGTTCACAGACTCACATTGCACTGACAAATACTAACACTGAAGAA